CCCCCAGCCTTCTCCCCCAGCCTCCTTCCCCAGCCCTCTCCCCCAGCCTCCTCCCCCAGCCTCCTTCCCCAGCCTTCTCCCCCAGCCTCCTCTGGGGAGTCCAGACTGTCTCTTTCAGATTGACTGGCCTGTTGCTCCCAGGACTATTCAAATGGTGCGCCCTTGCACTTGGCTCTGTAAGGCCATGTCCCAACTGGCTGCCTTGCTGTCTGCACTTCTTAGCTGTGTCATGGGTACAGTTAATGCATTTAGAGTGAAACACTAGGTTTATACTTATTTTCATTGTGTTATTTAGGTGGTGGGATTTGTGTAAAACTGAACCAGAGATGGAGTCAGTCAATGGGATATAAACATGCACACAGGTGCACACACTGAATGAACACACACACAGGTGTACACGTGTCTGCACACACGAAAGGGCACTGGTCCCCAGGTTGGGAAACTAGAAATTGGCACATGTGAGGTGGAGGGCGGGAGGTGCTTCTGGAGCCCCCATTGTGAGCTTGGCCTCTGCCCTCCAGAGCTGTGGGGGCCTGGGGTCCCTGCGAGCCAGTGACCTGTGGTGGAGGGCTGCACATGGAGCACGTCTCAGCAAGCAGTTCCAGAATGGACAAACTAAGGCGGAGAGTGCAAATCTGACACATTTATTAATCTAGGGACGTGTCCAGGTGAAAGGCCTAGTTCTTGTGTAAGTGGTGCTGAAGGGAAGGCCTGAGACTTGAGGTGTGGCTCTGGGTTGCTGCACTGCCACATCAGGAAGGGGGTCTGGGAGAATAGGAGGCCCTTCTGAATGTGAGGAACCAGCTGTGGCTCCAGGATGGACATGCGTCCCCAAGACTCCTCAAGTGACCAGAGCCGCTCCCTCTGGGATTCTGGGGAGTGGGAATGGTTGGTCACAGCAGGTGGGGGTGCAGTAGGGGATGGGCTGCAGACTAGGGTGTGGCAAGAGGGGGCCACCCACACGGGGTACTGGCCACTCCCAGACACTTCACTAGGCTCACCTGGCAGGAGGAGGACACACCACCCAGGGGGCCAGTGGGTAGCAGGATGTCCTGCAGCCTGGGGCGGGTAGTGGTGATGGGGACACAGCACAGGGGCTCGGGCAGGGGAAGGCAGCCTGAGGGGCAGCTTGTGTGGCATGTGGTGGTGAGTGGCCGGGTGGCATCGGGCAGAGGACAGGGCTGGTCTGGAGACTGCTTCCCTGGGCGGGCTTTATAGTCGGGCCATGACTGGCCGAGCAGTTCCCACCACCTCTGTCTTTCCTGCACGCCACCCTCCCAGCCCTTATTTTCCTGGCAGGCTTGCTGTGTCTGATAGACGTTCAGGCTTTGACAACCAACCAACTCCACAGCTGCATCTGCTGCAGAGCTGGCCCTGTCCCTTGCTCCCAGCAGCACCATCACCAGGACGTCCATACCCAGACCCTGATGTCTCCGGTCTCCTGGCTGGGGTGTCAAGGACTAGGGGTCATATGCTTAGCCCAGAGTGGCCGAGATCCGGTTCTGTAGGACCCTGAAGTTGGGACGCCCTCTCCTTCCAGGCTGGTGCTTCCGTGGGTTCACCTGGTCCCCACATCTCAGACACCTCATTTACAGCGCACACATGCACGCACATGCACGCATGCATACACATGAGCTCTCATGGTGCTGTCCCAGCCCTTCTCAGAGTCCCTCTGAAAGTGAGCACTGTCCATCCCTGGGAGGCTCACAGCCTAGGTGGGCAGGACAGCCTGCCGGGGGACCTGCAGTGTGGGGATGGGGCGAGGGAGGATCCTGAGAAGGGCAGCATGAGTTTCACTGGGTTTGAAACAGAAGATATTAAAATAAACTCCTTATGAATGTTTCCCAATATGCAGAAAGACCCAGAAAACCTTCCCTAGCTCCTCCTGAGGGCAGCCCATTCAAATGTATCATTCTAGTACATTTCTTTATGTGTTCTAAAACTTTGCACCATGTTGCCTGGCATGTTTTTAAAATGGAAATATTGTCATACGTTGAGTGCCCTTTTGTAACTTCACTTTCTATGCTTGGTTTTTTTTTTTTTTTTGTTTGTTTTTTTTGAGACAGAGCCTCAAGCTGTCCCCCTGGGTAGAGTGCCGTGGCATTACAGCTCACAGCAACCTCCAACTCCTGGGCTCAAGTGAGTCTCCTAGAGGCAGACTGATATTCCTTACTGAGGTGTCCCTTGTTTGCCCAGCTGACGGCCTTTGCCCCAGGTAGAGGTGACTGGCTTGTTAACTTTAAATGTCTGACAAACACCCTCCAGGCAGCCGCTTCTCCGCCTTGAGAGACCTCTGAGTTTGGGGGTCACAGTGTGTGAAGCCTGCAGTTATCTTGTGGCTGCAAGGAGGGTCTGAGATTTCTGGAAAAACAACACAAATGGGAGATAGTGGAACAAGTGGTTACAGAGTTCTGGGCAGTAAATCTTGCTGGCCAGGGAACTTGACACATAAGAGAACCAAATGAAGGCACTTTTGTTCCCAAGGTCTGGCTGCTGAGTTCTTGATATGCCCGAGGAACCCTTCCAGGCCCCATCCCAGGTGGCATCTCACATCTTCCCTCCCCAAAGTCTCTCCAGGCCTGGTGTGTTGTCACCATCTACCAGGCGCAGGAGCCAAGTGTGCCCAGCCTGCATGCTCACCTCTAAACGCCCCTGGACGTGCCCGGGGCTGCTGCTCTGTCCAGCAGGCTCTACAGGAAACCCTGCCATTTCCTCCTATTCACATGGTACTTTGAAGACCATCCCTGACCTTGGCCATGGCCACAGCTGGGCTGTGTTTCAGCTCCCCAAGGGTCTTGGGTTGTTGGTGCCCATGTGTGGGCAGCCCTGTGCCTTGATGCTATTTGGTTAGTGGTAAAGTGGAAACTCCCTGGTCCTTTCTTTTTTTCTTCCTTGAGACACAGCCTCACTCTGTCACCCTCAGTAGAGTGCTGTGGTGTTACAGCTCACAGCAACCTCCAACTCTTGGGCTCAAGTGATCCTCTTGCCTCAGCCTCTCAAGTAGCTGGGACTACAGGCATCTGCCAAAATGCCTGGTATTTTCAGAGGCGGTGTCTCGCTCTCTCTCTTAGGCTGGTCTCGAACTTGTGAGCTCAGGCAATCCACCCACCTTAGCCTCCCAGGGAGCTGGGATGGCTCCCACCCAGCCTTAATCAGCATTTTCTGTTTAAACGTCCCCTTTCCTGGAGTGAGCTGAGCTGGGGTAGGGGTGGGGCTTACGGCCCACCAGCCCTGGAGGTGTCCTCTGTCCTGCTCTGCTGTTCCGTCTGCTACTGGCTCAGGGGCTGAGCAGGGTGCTGGTGCCAACCTGGCTGGTCTACCTGGTGCCCTCTTGGCACTGTATTGCTAGTGGTCCACTGAGACTGTAGTGTCCTCCTCCCTCACTGTCCCTCGGGTTTGCTGCATGTAGGACGAGGGATGAAGTGACTCCTCAGTCTATGGGGGACCTGTAGAACATGCTGGTCCTGTGGCTGAGCAGCGGGAGGGCACCCCCTCCATGTGGGCACCGCTCTCCAGGGTCTTCATCCTCGGTCACATGCCAGGAGTCCAGCACAGGGTACGGGGCTCCCAGGGCCCAACTGGGCAGGGTTTCTGCTTCTCTCCAGCTCACCATTAGCCTGGTCAGGCAGGGGACAGGCATGGGCAGGGGCCTGGCCCGCCTGGAATCTGCACCCTCTCTGCTCTGCACCTGTGCGGAGGGAAGCATGGTGGGCTACAAGTGCGCTCAGATCTTTCTATTTCTCAAGAATATGAGAATGTGTGACTTTTCTGGCTTCTAGGGGACAGGGAGCCACAGCCCAAACTTGCAGTGGTTGAAGGGGCTTAGGGAGAAGCAGAAACACACATGGCCCATAATTCCTGACATAGACATTTTATTGATTATCCATGTAGCACTGATTGACCTTTGTCACAGTGGATACAACCCCCAATCCTTAGAAGGGGACTCCTTAAGCCTGCAGGCTACCCTGCTGAGGACCCTGTGGGTCACCTCTTCCCGGGAGGAGGCTGGAGGGAGCAGCAGTGGTGCACTCACCCCTGTTGGGGAGGGGCTCCGAGAATAGAGGATCCTGCTTAGAGCAAAGACTCAGCCACCAAGGACAGGAGATTGAGCCAGTCAGCAGCTAGACTTCTGGCCCAAGGAAAGGCCACAGCAAGCTGGGCGGGGACAGGTGGGGCGGCAGAGGAGGGACACGCAGGAGGCTGGGCGGGGGCAGCAGGGCTGGCAGGAGGAGGTGGAGACACAGCAGGCAGGTCTGCAGACAGGTTGGCAGAGGAGGGACACACAGGAGGAGGGTCTGCAGCAGGAGGAGGGGCAGGGGCTGGGCTGGCAGCACGAGGCGGCTGGGCAGGGGGTGACCCCAGGGCAGACGGGCACACAGCACACAGGCTTGCAACACACAGGCTTGCAACAGACAGGCACACAGCAGGCCTGCTGGCAAGGGGACGGGGTGCAGCAAGCTGGCTGGCAGCTAGACTGCTGGCAGCATGAGGGTGTGCAGGAGCTGGTGCAGACTGGTTGGCAGGGGCTGGACACACAGCTCACTGGGCTGCAGACCAGGGTCAGAGAGGGGGCTGGGACGCAGCAGCTGGGAGTGCAGCAAGTCGGCGGACAGCTAGTCTGCTGGCAGCATGAAGAGGAATCTCCAGGGCAGACGGGCACACAGCACACAGGCTTGCAGCTCATGGGCACACAGCAGGCCGGCTGGCAGGGGGACGGGGTGCAGCAAGCTGGCTGGCAGCTAGACTGCTGGCAGCATGAGGGTGTGCAGGAGCTGGTGCAGACTGGTTGGCAGGAGCTGGACACACAGCTCACTGGGCTGCAGACCAGGGTCAGGCAGGGGGTTGGGGCACAGCAGCTGGGGGTGCAGCAGGGTGGCTCACAGCAGCTCTCTGGACAGTCATCCACCTGCCAAGAATCACAGGAATCGGGCAGGCAGACCCGGCTGCCATAGCTCAGGTTGCTGGAGCAGACGGACATGGTGGATGTGGCCATGCTGGGGTTGAGCTGGGGAGTGTGAGTGTGAGGAAGTGAGTATGGGTGTGAGGATGAGTGAGTGTGTGGGTGCTCGGGGCTGTGGGCTTTTATACCCCTCCTGGCTTGGTTCTCCTGACTGGAGGCTGCAGGACCTGCCCTTCCTGTTGGTGTCCTGGCCGGCTGCAGGAGCCCTGGTCAGCGCTGGCTCATCACCGCCCGTGTTATTTTGCTCATAAACTTGCGTGAGTGCTGCGCTGCAGGACTCTGTTTCTTCCTCTGTTCTTATTTTGGTTCTGGAAAAGTTGTGGAAAATAGAGAGGCAAGCGTTTCTGAGTTGAGGGTTTAGAGGTGAGTACTTTTCCAAAGTGAGGAATCCTGGGTCCTCCATCCTGTGTTTTGACTAATTAAATGTTTTTTATTTCTTTAAGTGTTTCCAAATATAAATATGAAGAAAAATGTTAACCGGCATGTTGGGTGGCTCAGGTCTGTGATCCCAGCACTCTGGGAGGCTGAGGGAGGAGGATCCCTTGAGCTCAGGAATTTGAGACCAGCCTGAGCAGAGTGAGACCCCATCTCTACTAAAAATAGAAAAAACTACTCAGGCCTTGTGGTGGGTGCCTGTAGTCCCAGCTATTTGGGAGCTGATGCAGGAGGGTCATGTGAGCCAAGAGTTTGAGGCCTGCGTGAGACTTTATCTAAAAAAAAAAAAACCCTTAAAAAATGTGCACTTCTTATCTGACTTAAAGGGACCTCGATCATTATATGGTTTGGAAAGCCATGAACTTTCATTCACATAGATAGAAACTGATGGTTCAAACCATGACTCCTCTTACCAATGGTGGGTTAGGAATGTAACTCCAATAAGTGTAATTTTGTTGTGCACTTACCTGTGTATTAAGTATGGCTATCATTGCAAGAAATAAGGCTCGAGAGGTCACCGGTTGATTGCTCACCATCACGGTTGTTCTCACTTCCTGGTATAGTTGAGAGATCTCTCTCCATGTTTTTGGAGGAGGAGAGCTCCGATTCCTTTGCAATCTCCGGCTGGATCCGGGAATTAATTGGTTTCTCTGTTCTTCCAGTGACAGAGAGGACATCCTCACAGTCAGATTCCTGGTTTGTCTTCACTGTGCCCGTTGGCAGGAGCATGGTGTCATGTTGCAGTTTGATATGTTTGTCTGGGAACCAGAATTCGTTGCTTCCTGTGGAGAGAAGAGCATACCCTCTACCCCAATGCACCACTACAGCCAGAAGCCATTCATTTTTCATTATGTCTTTGTAATACACAGGCTGGTTAATGGCTGGTGGTATTGTTTTTACCCAGAGTTTATCAGAAGGAGCCTTTCCTTCAGTATCCAAATTTAAACAATTTAAAGCAAAAAGAGCTGAGTGTATTCTATTATGGGGAGTAGCATTATATCCTATTCCCCCTTTCTGTTAGGATTAGGTCACAGGACACTAAACGTGCTTCTTCAGCTCGCTGTGTCTGCTCAGACACCCAGAGAGCCCACGTGGGGTCAATGCGTCTCTCTCCATCTCTCCATTCTTTATGATGCGCTCAGAGGCCTCTGATATGTCTGAAGCTGCACTCTGCGTGTTTCCTATTTTCATTGTCCCACGTCGAGAGATCAAATACTTTTCATACACAGTGATTTTAAGACAGAAATTTTCATTCTTTTTGTATGTCTGAAAGTGTATCACCTCTACCTCCACACTTGTGTGATAATTTGGCTGGGCATAGAATCCTCATTCGAGTGTGGTAGAACCTCTATAAGGTGCCCACACAGGGACTGTGCAAACTGGTCACCATGCGGAGGTGGTCTCCATGCAGAGGTGGTCAGAGTGCGGAGATGGTCACTGTGTGGAGATGGTCACTATTTGGAGGTGGTCACCATGCAGAGGTAGTCACAGTGTGGAAGTGGTCAGAGTGCAGAGATGGTCACTATGCAGAGGTGGTCAGATTGCAGAGATGGTCACCATGCGGAGGTGGTCACAGTGTGGAGGTGGTCACCATGTGGTGGTGGTCACAGTGTGGAGGT